CGGTGGAAAGCGTGCGAATTATGACCCATATGGCTTTCCATAGGTAGCGATTAGTGATGGGAAGTTCGGATCATTTGACTGACTCGGACTTTTGAGTCTCGTTCAGCAAAATGAACGAATCTTTTTTTTCGAGTCATTTCGTTCATTTTAACAAAATATAATTAAAATGTTACGTGTTACTTCCCTAATATGTCTACTACTTACGCAAACGTTGATCACACTACAAACAATACAAAACTGTTATAAGAAACAGAAAAGATTAATTCATTGTTTACCTGGGTCTTCAGTCTATGATTAGCTCACCTCACCTCTTATCTGACAAGTCTTCGGGTTTGGGCTTATGGGGCTGTCACGTGATGAACGAACGACTCGGAAAACCCCGAAGACTCGAAACAGGTGAACTATTTGACTAATTCCAGTACAGAACCTATAGGATATTGCGCATGCGCGACTGAACGAATCACTCCCCGAGACGACTCGTTCTTCCCGAGTCACGTTAAAGATTCGTTCAAAACGAACGAATCGTTCAAGAACGACCCAACACTAGTAGCGATCACAGAGACTCGCTAAGGTTTGTCCAAGAAGTCGCTAGTCGCTTTTTTGGAAAAAAGTCGCCAGGGGGGTCTGAAAAGCGCTCTCTCTGGACAGCCTTGTGTCGTGTTCGTCAGATTTGTAGCCTGTTTCACCTATGAACAACAAAAGTGTCATTACCATGAGCTGTGCTTGTCCTTTGATGTCTTCAGTGTTGACGACGAACAAAAGAATGCCTATAAATGAAATAAACAGAGCTGCAATTGCGGTACATATTTGCAGTTGCGTTGTAATCTACTGTAAACAAAACATTGACATTTGCTGATCGACTATAGTCGACTGTAGCCAGGATGTTGTAGAATACTGACTTTGACAGACTCGTTAACACTAAAGTAAACCAACCTGTCAGACCTGCTCGGGCATGCAAACCATCTGTATCAAGTTGTTGTACACTTTATATGAAACATCTGACTGTCAAAGTGTGGATTTCTTTTTACTGCTGACTTCATACTTTTCGATTGTGTTAAACCTGTAGCCTGTGTGCTGATGTTCAGCTTTGGTAACTCAGTCAGGGCTTTTAAATGGTCCACACGGTTGTAGTGCAGTGCTGGAACAAGATATATTTACATAGTAGTAGTTAACGCAAACTTTTAAGGGTCAACAAAAGAAACCTCACTGTCTTTGTGCCTTAAAAAGTCTAGAGGTCAGAGACTGTGAAGTACAAAGACGCAAAACTTCTCAGGCATGCAAACAAACATCAATCTGACACTAGGTGGCATTAGAGCAAACAAAATCATGTGTCGTTCCTCATTAATAACAATAGACAATATGCATTTGGAAAAGCACTATGCATCTAAATTGAACATATTCAGTAGGAATGATTTAAAAATGGAGAGCCACATATCGGATAGCTATTGATTGTATTCCAAAAGTGTTGGGGGAAACATAAATATATGTAAAAGTGAACAGATTCTGTCCTGTGTTGACATATTTCTGAATTTTAGGCAAGACATATTTAAGGGCTCTTCTTTTTAAACAGTCAATAGTCTATAAACAGTCAATAGTCTGTGGTTACATCAGACTTGAACATGATTGGCTGCTTGCTAGTTGTGTGCAGGTGGCGTTAGGTGGAGGCAGGGCCGTCCTTAGGGGGACCCCGCTCCCTACTTCACACCGGGCCCCGTGTCAGCTAAGGACGGCCCTGGGTGGAGGGACATTCTCATCCTTGAAAGCATTTAATTGGACAAAAATCTGTGTATCAGCGTCATTAATACAAGGACTAAAGGCCAAACACATTCAGTGTTTTATTACATCTACAAAATACAGAAAAAGTAGTAAACACTTGAACTTATTTAATATTACAAAAGCTTTCCTGATTCAGCAGAAAAAGAAGCAGGCGATACCATTTCAAAATCAAATACATTCTTCTATTTGCATTGCTACATTTTCAAGACTTTCCATTTTGAATGTTTTCAGTGCTTTTGACTTTGGTTTACAGAACATTGCATAGCACACAAATAAATCTAGAAAAAGGTTTCAAAACAAGAATACATAATATGATATTAAGGCACAGCGTAGTATACATAACAAACATACATTCAACATTATGAAAAGACAGACATCTTGACATGATTGTCCTTGATGAATTAGACTTAACACTTCTAAAATTAAGTCTCCTGTTGTACAATCTCTTCTAAAATGATAATTTATATAAAATGTGCTTGATAAGAAATTGGTGATTGAAATGAGATAGGTTTGATGAAATGTGATACAAAAAGTATTTTCTGCATCCGTGTTGTTTTCAATGTACTGTAAACAGAAGCATTCCTGCTAAGGGCAGTGCATAATGTACATAGGGAGCAAAATAACTCTATCATCATTAAATTACATTATCAGTATCTTTCTTACGGATGGCTCGCAACAAAAAATATAGCGCCACAATAAGAAGGAAGCAAAAGAGGACGATCAGAGCACTCCAGGCGCCTGAGCGCAGTGATTTCCTCAGTAAAACATTTTCAGCAGGCAGCAGGTTACTTAGGCTTAGCATGAAGCCAAGGGACCAGCCAACAGATGTGTCTCCCGCCTGCAAACCAAAGCAACATGTTAACTTTTTTTTTTTTTTTTTACCTAGAGTTAAACACTTATTCACCAAGCTTTAGGGAAAAGTTCACACAAAAATAAACATTTACTGAAAATACTACTCACCCTCAAAACATTTCTCACCCTCAGGCCATCCAAGATGTAGATGTGTTTGTTTCTTCATCCGAACGAATGGAAGAAATTAGCATTACATCACTTGCTCACCAATGGATCCTCTGTAGTGATTGGGTACCATCTCAAACAGCCGATAAAAGCATTACAATAATCCATCAATTAATGTCCAGTGAAGTGAAAAGCTGCGTGTTTTTATTACCAAATCTCATTCTGATGGCACCCATTCACTGCAGAGGATCCATTGGTGAGCAAGTGATCTAATGCTAAATTATTTAAAATCTGTTCTGACGAAGAAACAAAATAATTCTAGGATGGCCTGAGAGTGAGTAAATTTTCAGCAAATTTTATTTTTTTGGTGAACTATTCCTTTAAATCAACACAAAAAGCTAATACAATCCATTTTACTCCTGTAATGTGATGAATATTCTTTTTTTTTAAATTAAGAATAAAATGAAATATAGGCCTAGTACTTGAGTTTATTCATGTGAAATTGACTAGACAGTGAAAAGTGTTCTCTGTGTGACAAATGTTTGGAAGGAAGGGGTTGAAAAATTAGAAAGCTTGGTGATATCAAAATGAAAATTTGTATGCCTATAAACAGGGAACGTGCATTAAGGAGGTAAATAGAGTCAGTTTTTGCAAATAGGTCTAACTACCTTCTTCTGGAAGGAGATGTGCGGGAAGGAGAAAAAATCAAAGCCATATCCACTGTCCAGGAGCACCTGCACAAAGGCTGAAACTGTGCAGTAGTCCTTCAAACGGCTTTCCTGACCCTGAACTTTATTTGTGATCTAGGGCAAAGAAAATGAAAGAGAAATTTGAGAGGAATATCTGAAAATCATTTAATAGGCTAAATAAATAACTGTTAAATATTCAATATTGCTTCATTTGAAAACAATAAGACATATACATATAAAATAACGTCTTCATATCAGATAAAGTAAGTTTTCTTAATCTGAGAACCTGAGACTCTCAATCATTGGTCGATTGCAGAGATATGGGAAAAGTCATCTCAGAATAGCAGGGCTCAAAATTAGCTCAGTGGGGCAGTACCTCCTGAAAGCTCATGTTGCAGACAACATGGGTAGCGTCCTCTAAATGTTCTGGGGATGTGATGCTGATGCCTGTTGCTTCCTGAAGAAAGGAATGGGTGTAGAAAAATGCAGAAAATGCCTGTGCCAGAGAAAGAAAAAATGGTGATGGAGAGAGATAGATTGCATTATCATAATAGTGACACATGCAATCATGACACTGTGCCCAGAAAATGAATTCATGATTTATTTTAATGCTTTGAGCTGTCTCACTTAATAACTGCTTACATTTTAACATATCCAGTCAAGACATTAATGTTGTCAAAGGCATGAGAGATGAAGGAACAAATTGCATGTTATGCTGGTTGATCAAATATATGAAAAAAATCAACTAAATGCACAAGGTTTAAATATTCCATATTAAGCACTCTAGAAACTCGTACCATAAAGTTTCCAGTAATGTTGGGCTGGAAGACTCCATCAAAAGAGCATCTGGAATAAGAACAGTTGTTAAAAGAGAAAAGACGAGAAACGTTTCCCAGGCATTGATCGTAGTTTCCTGTGCCTTTGATTTGCAGGTCGTCATCAGGTTTATACGGAGTTTGTCTTTTATTGCATGGAGTATCAAACACACTGCTCAGCTTTATGGAATCACTGTAACCTGCGGGATAGCAGGGGTGAACTATGGAGCGGTCTGAACCCTGAGTCTATAAGATATAAAGAGAAAACATCAGAAGTTATACAATCAAGTTAATCAGCTTGTCTGATGATAATTTATTTAGACTAAAGGTTTGCACTTAACCTTCATCAGAAGTGCCAGCAGTTTGAGTAACACCTGGTCTCTCCCATAACACAGAAAGCTCTGAGTGTAAATCTGATAGTCTCGTCCGTACAGCCGCAGTTTCATCAGATTGTCCTTGTTCTCCACCGTCTGTTTAGTTTCAAAGGTGATCTGAGTAGAAGCTCCACCAAAGTCTAGAGCACCAACCGTGTCTCTGCCTGGAGACAGCCATTGACCCACAAAACCATACTAGAGACATGAAAGAGAAAAATGTAGGGTAATGGCCAGTAACACATTTAGTAAAGGACATTCAGATGTTGTGAGATACACAGTATGGCTAACAATATACGGTACTATACCTTTATGTAATTCTCAAGCAGGTAGTTGACTGTGACCCATCCATAAGCTCCCTCTTCTTGTCCACTTAAGATGGTGGCCCCTTTGAAGCTGAATGGGTAGGTCTTCAGTTTGTCTGCCACTTCCTTCAAAACCATATCTGACTCTTTGGGTTTAGAAATACTGTGTGATAGGACACAAATGCATTTTTTTTAATAATAATATTTTATTTTTTAATACAATCTCTTCTCTCTTTATATACTTTTTTCAGGATTCTTTGCTGGATAGAAAGTTCAAAGAACAGCATTTACATGAAACTAAACCATTTGTAACATTACAACTTACTTTTCTGTCACTTTTGACCAATTTTATGCATCTTTGCTGATCAAATGTTTAAAAAAAAAAAAAAGTATAATAATTTTACTGATCCCAAACAAACAGTAGTGTGTATTGCAAGTTATAAGAGGTAAGTTATATAGGATAATGATACATTTGTCATCTGTGGTTATAAAAGCAGCTTTAGTTACAAAGCGGTGAGCTTTCTGACTCACTTCAGTAGTCTCATGCCTGCTGTGGCCCCGAGATACAAAGGGGTGAGTTTGTGTCTTGACTTTGGGATCTCCTGCATGGCTTGTTCCATGCATTCCTCAAGACTAAGGGCTGCTCCTCCTCTGTTGCCAGCATAACTGGAGATTCCGCCTCCTGATTAGAGAAAGTGAGAGGTCAGTTCATCAGACAACTGAAACGAATAACACAATTCCTCTTTATATCTTATGAACTCTGCATGGGCATACATGGGCAAGAACTATCAGTTCCTATTTCACTGCCTGGAATGCCACAGACACTTGACTACCATAAATGCAACCAGACATGTTTTTAGGTGACTATTCCAGATGTTTCCGTAGAACATTGCCACTCAGCAATATTTGAGGGGTACTAGGAGTTCAAGATCCCAATTCTGTGAATGCCAGATCCCTAAAGAAGAGTGGACTGAACCAAAGTGATGACATTTTAAAAGGGCAAACTTAAGGCACCACCACAAAAAAAGGAAGCGGGCAACAATGTGTTGCAATTCAGCACTCTGCTTAAGAATGCCATATCTCAGTTCAAATGAACATCAATGCAAATGTTCAAGCAGTGAAAAAATATCAAGAACTAATTCATTACAATACATTCATATAATGAAGTAAAACATCTGACGTTGTCGTTTGGATTTTGTAACGTCTGTTCTGTGAGTGACTTTTGAGAAGTGTGATCCATTTTAAAACAAAGATTTGAGTAAATTGTTTCTAAGCTACAGAAACAATTTTAAGCTACAGTATTGAACGAGGTTTTAGCAGTCTCACATCCCTGTTAGACTGTTCTAACTGTCTATGTAAATGTAAATGTCGCCTGACATTTACATTTAAACTGATAACAGATGTTTGTATCCAAGAGACTTTCAAATGAGGAACATCATAAGCCATTTATCATTAAATACTCACCCTTGGCATGACACTCGCTGTGTTGACTGACTATGCCGGTACCGTTCTGCTTGTCTGCTGGCCATTTGTAGATGAACATAGAAGTATGAGAGGATCCAGCATCCAGGACTATTCCATACTGAGAACAAACACTGTTTCACTGTGTAATTAGAGATGGCACTCATATTTAATGTTTAGCATGCATTTTATTATTACTAAAATAAATGCATGAAAATATAACTTGTCTTTAAGTCAACTGTTCTTTCAATTCTTATTTAATAAGAGCTTTCACAAGAATCTATTTAATGTTTCTGATCTGTTTATGGCAGGAGCAACAGCAATCATTATTCAGAAGCAACCAGTTGGACTGTCATTAAAGTTTTTAAATGGTCCACACAGCTGGTTGTATAAAGTGCAGTGTTGGAAAATATATAAATACAGTAGCAAAAGCAAATTTGTAAGGGTCAGGCTCCAGGGACCCTCCCGGTCAGTGGTTTGTTTTAATTCTGAGAGGATGTGAGACAAACGCTCCCGAAAACGCTAAGCTCGTGCCAGGCTTCGGCCTTGTCCTTTCCATTCTTCAAGTTACTCTGACGCAAACTGGTTCTTTCTCATCAACCAACTTCATGGTGATGTCTAAATGTATTCATTTAGTATCTCAGAAAGCATGTTGTTTTGATGTGAACAACTGCAGATATTCAGCAGGGTCACCAACACTGATCCATTACAGATCACTGGTCACCAAATCACACATTATAAGTTACCAAAATCAGTTACCCCTCTCACAACGGTTTAAAAGTTATCCACATTCACTCTGGTGATAAAAATTCTTTATTTATTTATTAACTTTCATGTCTTGAAATGTGACCCTGCACCACAAAACCATTCATAAGGGTCAATTTTTTTGAAATTGAGATTTATACACCATCTGAAAGCTTAATAAATAAGCTTTCCATTGATGGTTTATTAGGCAATATTTGGTTGAGATACAACTATTTGAAAATCTGGATTCTGAGGGTGCAAAAAAATCTAAATATTGAGAAAATCGCCTTTAAAGTTGTCCAAATGAAGTTCTTAGCAATGCCTATTACTAATCAAAAAATAAGTTTTGATATATTTATAGTAGGAAATGTACAAAATATATTCATGGAACACGATCTTTACTTAATACCCTAATGATTTTTGGCATAAAAGAAAAATTGATAAGTTTGACCCATTCAATGTATTATTGGCTATTTCTACAAACATACCCATGCTACTTATGGCTGGGTTTTGTGGTCCGGGTCACTATATATATATATATATCACACACATATATTTAAAAAAATCACCCAACTGGGCTGAGAGAAAAGGCTTTTATTTTAACTTTTGCAGTTTTCAATCTGAGAGAGAATCTTCATGGTTTCTCCGGTGGTCCAAACTAGAGAGCCGTCTGAGCTGTACAAAATCACACCTCACCTTGAACAAGACAAGGCAGGTGATCGCAACGTGCAGAGGAAGCGCTCGTTATTATCTGCTCTACCGGAAACTGGTCGATACCAAACAGATAAGCTGCTTATTTGTTCTCACGGTCTTATAAGTTACAACGCGCTCAGCGTAACGTCGCGGCAATGTGAAATGTTCCCTTCACCTCTTTCGGATTTGTAGCCTGTGTGTGTCACGAATGAGAAAAATATTATTACCATAAACTCTGGCGGCTCTTTGACGTCTTCAGTAGGTACGACGAGCAGGAGAATGCCACAGACCGCCAGAAACAGAGCCGCAGTAGCGGTAATGATCCGGCATTGCTGTTGGTTACCCATGGACACCATCCGCGCGACGCGATCCGCACAAGACAAATGACTGCGACGACATACGTTGGCAAGTCAGGTACTATTGTGACGTGTGTTAAATACAGGCGGCAAACCTAAGTGGGCATGGCACTAACATTGTTCCTCATCATGTGTCCGCGGCGCAACAGGTTCTCGCTGTTAGATTGTGTTGTCCAATAAATCATATAGTCTACTTTATGCTTCATATGATTATGAAAGCTATGCAACATTAAAGAGTTACTGCCCAGGGCAAAATATTCAGATCGGTCAACACACGTTAACATTTGTGACAACATGCCCCAGTAGCATGTCGCTCTATAAGGGTTACAGTATATGGTTTTCAGGCTACTAAAACAGTTACGAAGCACAGATTAAGTAAAAAGAAATATAGGCTATTAAAATAGGCCTATCAAATCATTGTTTTGCGCAATAAATGTTAGAAATAATAAAGTGTGTAAATTAAATAGAACATTTAAAACACACCTGATAGTTTCCTCCGACCTGACAAAGAAAGTATCCTAAACAAAAAATCCACCTTTATTATATAGTTGACTTCTGTGAATGTATACTAGTGTGGTTGATTATAATATTATAATTTTACTTAGGAAGACAAAATTCACAGAATTCTTCGACCTATAGCTTATATTCCTTCAAATTTTGAGTGGTGAGGAAGATTTAACAAAATTTCAGAAATCAAGTATTTGTAGATCATTTTGATCTCCACTGTAAACTGCTTCTTGAAAGAACACACACACACACTTCAAATTGTATTGACTAGATATATAACCTATATATATATAACCTATTATATAAATAATAGAGATATAACCCTTGTGACAACATACTTGTGTGACGACTGGCCCCACACTACTTTGTCAACTTTTGTCACAAAAACAGCACCACATTTTGTGTAAGGTGTTCCACAAACAATGTCTGAGCCATTTGCACTCATACTTGGAAACTGTGCATCGTATAAAGTTCATGCTTTGATGAAAGTTTCAACGGCTTTTTTTTCTCTGTTGTTTTTGAATGTGTGGTTAACGCTGCTGTCTGAAGTGCAGATGTGTGTGAAGTGCTAAACAGACAAACAGGGCTGTATGGCAGGTTGTGTTGCGTCAAACAAGAAAAAGATCTTGAGGTTTTTTAGACAAGGTTATCTCTGAATGTTGCAATAAAACTGTCACCATGGTAAACAAATGACAAAAACATTAAAGGTGTGTAACATGACCATTATCGCACTGAGCTCATACTGTAGTGCAGGGAATGTAGCCTATTGGAAACTATCAGCAGATGCAGAGTCATTCATCATAGAAAATGACTGTGCTTGTGTGCCAAGAGGATTTATTTCATATTTAAGTAGGGACTGTATTATGCAACGTAAACACAAATTAATAATATGAAACAACGAACAGAGCTATTATAATTTAACAACTATTTGCATTCCACTTTATATTAATATGTATCAAGTGCTACTGATAATTCATCTATACATTACTGCAGTATACAGTGTGTATATATATATATATATATATATATATATATTTATTTTTTTCTGTCAGGTTAAAGATAAAATTAATAGCTCAGTAGTAGATATAGGGCTCTGTGCATTTTATAAACCCTGTTTCTCTCCCCCCCAACCTCAGTCTCTGTGTGCCCTTTGGAACAGTCTTTATAAGCTGCTTTATTCAGCATCACAGCTTCAGGCTGGTCCATATGAAGAAAGCCTTTGCTGATCCATATCAAACAGCACATACTCCAAACTGTGCTCTGGGTCCTGGCACATGTGGTTAACAATGAAACACTGGTAGTTCCACAGCAGAAGCAGCACCATGCCACACAGGGCCAGTATTACCAGGCTGCCCAGCAGAAGACGCTGTTTGTCCAGGAAGCATCCGTTCTGACAGCTCTCATCAGTGAGATGTGTGTACCTCCACAGAGATCTCTTCAGCACAGATCCTGGGCGCTGATGTGGATACAGAGACACGACAAAATCTTTTGTTTGTGCTGTGCTCATTGTACGGGGAGTACTCCGAGATTCTTACAAGCTGCCTGCTGTGGGAAAAACAAGTGGTAGGGCCGCAGAGATTAGATGAATATTGCAGTTCATGTTGCACAGGTCTGGCTAGGGCTTTTGTGATTTTGTCTGTCATAAATATGCAAACACAATCTTTTCAGATATAGAATTCATGAGAATTCGTGTTAGGGTATAAATTAACTACATTTTCAGTGGTGTGAAAGTTAATTTATTTTCTTAATAGTGTTGTTTTTCCAAAATTATGGTTTCATAACCCCAGGGTAAAAAGCAATGCTAACCTCCGTATTAAATTACAAGTGTGAAATGTTTCAGGGTTTAGAACCAACGACTTTTTAAAGGGTTAGTTCACATTAATAATAATTAATGTCAATAATTACTCACCCTCATGTCGTTTTAAATGACCTTCGTTCATCTTTGAAACAAGAATTAAGATATTTTTTGATGAAATCTGAGAGCTCTCTGACCCTCCATAGACCGCAAGGATACTACCATGATCAAGGCACAGAAACGTAGCAAGGACATCAGTAAAATAGTCCATGTAACTTCAGGGGTTTAACCATAAGTATACGAAGCAGCGAGAATAATTTTTGTGCGCAAAGAAAATAATAACATAATTTATTCAACTATTCTTCTCCCCAAGTTACCGTCTTCTGCCATTTTGGAGAGTACCCCAGAAAGTATTCAACGTAATCAGCGTTGTTTACGTTCAGCATGCGCACGCTTTATCCTGAACGTGAACAACACTGATTACATTGATTATGTTCAGGCCAGGGGTACTCTCCAAAATGGCGGAAGATGGTAACTCGAGGAGAAGAATTGTTGAATAAGTTATGTTATTATTGTTTTCTTTGCTCACAAAAAGTATTCTTGCTGCTTTGTAAACTTATGGTTGAACCCCTGTCATATGGACTATTTTACTGATGTCCTTGCTACGTTTCTGTGCCTTGATCATGGAAGTATCTTTGCTGTCTATGGAGGGCTAGAGAGCTCTCAGATTTCTTAATTTGTGTTCCGAAGATGAATGTCATTACGGGTTTGGAATGACATGAGGGTGAGTAATTAATGACATAATGTTTGGGTGAACTAACCCTTTAAATTAATCAGTTCGATCAGACTCCCTGTACTGTTACTTTAATTACGAATTGGTTATGTAAATTCAGGTGTTTTTGTTGCAGTTATTCAGTATGAATTTACCTGCTCAAGTTTACTACTATCATTCTAAAAAAGAACGTCTTTATGGCTCTGATTAAATTATAAATTTTATCATTGTATTATTATTATTTTTTTAATAAAAACAGTCCCCTTGTTATCTTTAATGTAGTTAGCTACTTTTTGTTTGTAGCTTGTAGTGTAGCTAACTACTGTTTCGAAACAGTAGCTTGACTGTAGTTTAACTGCTTCAAATTATGATTCATTTGTAGCTTGGCAGGCTTTACTTTCAACATTCCCAAACATTGAAATGCATGTAAATATCTTATATTGACTGGATACTAAATCCAATCCTTATATGCCAACATAGCCTATTTTTATCAAGTTTTTAACCAACAAATGACCTGAAATAGACTCTAAATAGAAGAGCTATATATAAATATATATTTTTTAATAAACTAGACATGTATTATGGCTTTTTTGACTGAGGGATGCATCAAAAACACCCTAGTTTACTGAAATGCCACATTAACTACATAAGATTCCAATGAGAGGTAAATACACTGGTTCTTTATACCATGGCAGCGATAAAACAGCACAAATCCAATACAAACACCAATAAAAGCCTACCTTGCCACTTGATGTAGAAGCTGTACGACTGCTAGCTTATGAAGACAAACACGCATCAGGTTGCAAGATGCCCCAGGGTTTGTCCATTCACTAACCTGTACTCCTGTTTGGATTACTTCTGCTCAAAATGTCAAAACAAACAGATTCAGAACAGCTCCTCCTCTCCTGTCTTGGCACAACACCTTCTCCACACCAGATTGTGACCATGTCTGTTTAATGTGAGAGGTGGATTGTGCAATGATTTTCTGTGGTTTAAAAAATTCTACTTTACATGCATCAGACTGTGGCTGTAGATATGAATGAATATTCCCCACAGTACATTATTTGTACCTACTGTAAGAAAACTCACAACTGCTTCCACATATTTCAGAAAGCCCTGAAAGATTAAAATAGATTTAGTCAGTAGTTTTTTGCCTTGATCGTGACAGTGAAACAAATGGCTGTGCGTGCTCTCATGCTGTGCAATATCCCCATGAGAGCAGAGAGGTGCCAAGATACTGATGATAAACATTGTGGCATATTTCATATCTTTTTGAATAATGAATGTGACTGAATGTACTGAATTCTGAGTGATGAATTTTGTTCATGGTGGTAAACCCATTGAATATTATATGTGATACATAACACATACAGTGGGGCAAATAAGTATTTGATACACTGCCGATTTTTCAAGTTTTCCCACTTACAAAGAATGGAGAGATCTGTAATTTTCATCGTGGGTACACCTCAACTGTGAGAGACCGAATAAAAAAAAAATCCAGAAAATAACATTGTATGATTTTTTTAATAATTAATTTCCATTTTATTGCATGAAATAAGTATTTGATACAATAGAAAAATAGAACTTAATATTTGGTACAGAAACCTTTGTTCGCTGATGTGGATACAGAGACACGACAAAATCTTTTGTTTGTGCTGTGCTCATTGTACGGGGAGTACTCCGAGATTCTTACAAGCTGCCTGCTGTGGGAAAAACAAGTGGTAGGGCCGCAGAGATTAGATGAATATTGCAGTTCATGTTGCACAGGTCTGGCTAGGGCTTTTGTGATTTTGTCTGTCATAAATATGCAAACACAATCCTTTCAGATATAGAATTCATGAGAATTCGTGTTAGGGTATAAATTAACTACATTTTCAGTGGTGTGAAAGTTAATTTATTTTCTTAATAGTGTTGTTTTTCCAAAGTATGGTTTCATAACCCCAGGGTAAAAAGCAATGCTAACCTCCGTATTAAATTACAAGTGTGAAATGTTTCAGGGTTTAGAACCAACGACTTTTTAAAGGGTTAGTTCACATTAATAATAATTAATGTCAATAATTACTCACCCTCATGTCGTTTTAAATGACCTTCGTTCATCTTTGAAACAAGAATTAAGATATTTTTTGATGAAATCTGAGAGCTCTCTGACCCTCCATAGACCGCAAGGATACTACCATGATCAAGGCACAGAAACGTAGCAAGGACATCAGTAAAATAGTCCATGTAACTTCAGGGGTTTAACCATAAGTATACGAAGCAGCGAGAATAATTTTTGTGCGCAAAGAAAATAATAACATAATTTATTCAACTATTCTTCTCCCCAAGTTACCGTCTTCTGCCATTTTGGAGAGTACCCCAGAAAGTATTCAACGTAATCAGCGTTGTTTACGTTCAGCATGCGCACGCTTTATCCTGAACGTGAACAACACTGATTACATTGATTATGTTCAGGCCAGGGGTACTCTCCAAAATGGCGGAAGATGGTAACTCGAGGAGAAGAATTGTTGAATAAGTTATGTTATTATTGTTTTCTTTGCTCACAAAAAGTATTCTTGCTGCTTTGTAAACTTATGGTTGAACCCCTGTCATATGGACTATTTTACTGATGTCCTTGCTACGTTTCTGTGCCTTGATCATGGAAGTATCTTTGCTGTCTATGGAGGGCTAGAGAGCTCTCAGATTTCTTAATTTGTGTTCCGAAGATGAATGTCATTACGGGTTTGGAATGACATGAGGGTGAGTAATTAATGACATAATGTTTGGGTGAACTAACCCTTTAAATTAATCAGTTCGATCAGACTCCCTGTACTGTTACTTTAATTACGAATTGGTTATGTAAATTCAGGTGTTTTTGTTGCAGTTATTCAGTATGAATTTACCTGCTCAAGTTTACTACTATCATTCTAAAAAAGAACGTCTTTATGGCTCTGATTAAATTATAAATTTTATCATTGTATTATTATTTTTTTTTTTATAAAAACAGTCCCCTTGTTATCTTTAATGTAGTTAGCTACTTTTTGTTTGTAGCTTGTAGTGTAGCTAACTACTGTTTCGAAACAGTAGCTTGACTGTAGTTTAACTGCTTCAAATTATGATTCATTTGTAGCTTGGCAGGCTTTACTTTCAACATTCCCAAACATTGAAATGCATATAAATATCTTATATTGACTGGATACTAAATCCAATCCTTATATGCCAACATAGCCTATTTTTATCAAGTTTTTAACCAACAAATGACCTGAAATAGACTCTAAATAGAAGAGCTATATATAAATATATATTTTTTAATAAACTAGACATGTATTATGGCTTTTTTGACTGAGGGATGCATCAAAAACACCCTAGTTTACTGAAATGCCACATTAACTACATAAGATTCCAATGAGAGGTAAATACACTGGTTCTTTATACCATGGCAGCGATAAAACAGCACAAATCCAATACAAACACCAATAAAAGCCTACCTTGCCACTTGATGTAGAAGCTGTACGACTGCTAGCTTATGAAGACAAACACGCATCAGGTTGCAAGATGCCCCAGGGTTTGTCCATTCACTAACCTGTACTCCTGTTTGGATTACTTCTGCTCAAAATGTCAAAACAAACAGATTCAGAACAGCTCCTCCTCTCCTGTCTTGGCACAACACCTTCTCCACACCAGATTGTGACCATGTCTGTTTAATGTGAGAGGTGGATTGTGCAATGATTTTCTGTGGTTTAAAAAATTCTACTTTACATGCATCAGACTGTGGCTGTAGATATGAATGAATATTCCCCACAGTACATTATTTGTACCTACTGTAAGAAAACTCACAACTGCTTCCACATATTTCAGAAAGCCCTGAAAGATTAAAATAGTTTTTTTGCCTTGATCGTGACAGTGAAACAAATGGCTGTGCGTGCTCTCATGCTGTGCAATATCCCCATGAGAGCAGAGAGGTGCCAAGATACTGATGATAAACATTGTGGCATATTTCATATCTTTTTGAATAATGAATGTGACTGAATGTACTGAATTCTGAGTGATGAATTTTGTTCATGGTGGTAAACCCATTGAATATTATATGTGATACATAACACATACAGTGGGGCAAATAAGTATTTGATACACTGCCGATTTTTCAAGTTTTCCCACTTACAAAGAATGGAGAGATCTGTAATTTTCATCGTGGGTACACCTCAACTGTGAGAGACCTCTTTGCAGAAAAGCACCCCCAAAACATGATGTTTCCACCCCCATGCTTCAAGGTTGGGATGGTGTTCTTGGGATTATACTCATTCTTCTTCTTCCTCCAAACACGTCGAGTGGAGTTTATACCAAAAACTTCTATTTTGGTCTCCTCTGACCACATGACCTTCTCCCATGCCTCCTCTGGATCATCCAGATGGTCTTTGGCAAACTTCAGACGGGCCTGGACATGTGCTGGCTTGAGCAGGGGGACCTTGCCCACGCTGCAGGATTTTAATCCATGACGGTGTAGTGTGTTACTAATGGTAACCGTTGAGACTGTGGTCCCAGCTCTCTTCAGGTCATTGACCAGGTCCTCCCGTGTAGTTCTAGGCTGATCCCTCACCTTTCTCAGGATCATTGATACTCCACGAGGCGAGATCTTGCATGGAGCCCCAGTCCGAGGGAGATTGACAGTCATCTTGAATTTCTTCCATTTTCTAATAATTGCGCCAACAATTGTTGCCTTCTCACCAAGCTGTTTGCCTATTTTCCTGTAGCCCATCCCAGCCTTGTGCAGGTCTACAATTTTGTCCCTGGTGTCCTTAGACAGCTCTTTGGTCTTGCCCATAGTGGAGAGGTTGGAGTCTGATTGATTGAGTGTGTGGACCGGTGTCTTTTATACAGGTAACAAGTTCAAACAGGTGCAATTAATACAGGTAATGAGTGGAGGATAGGAGGGCTTCTTAAAGACAAACTAACAGGTCTGTGAGAGCTAGAATTCTTGCTGGTTGGTAGGTGATCAAATACTTATTTCATGCAATAAAATGGAAATTAATTATTTAAAAATCATACAATGTGATTTTCTGGATTTTTTTTTTGATTCTGTCTCTCACAGTTGAGGTGTACCTACGATGAAAATTACAGATCTCTCCATTCTTTGTAAGTGGGAAAACTTGAAAAATCAGCAGTGTATCAAATACTTATTTGCCCCACTGTACAACACATATAAAATATTCACATCACAAAATAGTAATGTAAATACAATATGCGCTTGGTATTTAACCAAATATTCAGTAGTGCACTCACAAAGAAAAAAAATGTATAGGGCATTCAATGTGAAATTTCACAGTTAATTACAGAAGAGAGCCGGCTGACCTTTGCTCTTAATCTTGTAGTGAATCCTCATATCTGATTTTCTATGTTTCTCAAACAGTCGCCTACCACTTCTAGTGCTCTTTTATTAAATAATTATGAAGATATTGATTTTCTGAAACTTTAATATTTCTAACAAAAGTAGGGTAGAGAGAGAACAGTGAGCATAAAGTTATTCAATCCAGGTTTCATTTTTTTAAATTTGATATATATTTTATTGGCACACTGGAGTATAGCAGTTATACATTTTTTAACATATATCTTTGTTTGAATTCAATTCAGGTTTTTTTTTTTTGCACAAACAGTGTTGGAATAGTCATTGAAAGCACATTTGGTGGTCGAGAAATATGGTGAAAGTAGATTTAAATGGCCTTGCAATATTTTAAAGCTTTAGAAATAATGCATGTTTGCATACAACAGTGAATGGGGTTACATTGCTTTGTTTGTCAAAGATGTGCTTCCTCTTGAGCCTCACAAGTACTTCAGGCCGCACACTTTAATTTATTCCCTGCCACCATCGTGGGTTTCCACCACAGATTCCAATTATATGATCAAATATTAGCTTGATGGACACAGCAGTGCATATGGCAGCATATATTTTTCTATGTAGGATTGATTATGAATCTATAGAGAATTTGTGTATCTACTTTTAACGTGTTACATGCTTCATAATGAATTTCACAAAGCAGTTCACAGTCATGTTCACAGTAAAACTGGACTTCAGACACTTGCTGAACCCAACCCAGCATAATGTTTTCAAGCAAAGACCACCAAACCTTGAACCATGAATCTAATGTTTTTCTATAAAAACTCTCAATTTTAATCTAAAACATATATTTTTCTCATATTAATGTCTTCATCTTATAAAACAGTTTCATAACTTACTGTTACAGTACGCATAGTTCACATTCTAAACTTCTCACAATAGTTAGCAAAGCCCTCAGATTGATTGTTTGAGACAAACGATCTATACAGTGATCTAATACGCCTATTATTGGTCAGTATACTTTTAAAAGCCCACAGAAAAAGACGACTGACTCATATTATAAATTACCACCTTTGCCGGTAACCATTTAACTAGTCCACAGAGTAAAAGCTTGACAACAAACGATGGAAATAGCATCTAGTGTTATTATTTCACACAGACAAAATATAATAGCCTACTGCTCATATATTATAATGACATGATGAAATATATATATATAATGTGAGGAAAGGTCCCCATTGTGGTAGCTAAAAGATGCTAGCTACCAGCTCACACAATGATACAGAAATTATTACAGGGAATTTCAAGCAAGGTTCAACATTAAGCTCAAAAGATCCTGTAATAATATCTGCTTCATTACATCTACGCCACTCTTTATCATAAGCGGGTTCCTTTCGTTCGTTTGAAGTTTTGTCTTTAAAAGTTTATGATAAACAAGGTCGGATCTGCTACATTTAGCCCCTGGCTGGATAGACCCCATATAATATGCTGATATTCAGATAATCTTCAAAAAATCATTATTTTTGTACAAAATATTAAAAACATAAATAAAGTAGCAAAAAAAGATCCACAGTATGTGTCCAAAGCAACCTGGACAACTTCAGGTGAGTGTTCTGAAACCGGCAGTGAAGGGAGAGAATCGCATATTTAGAAGTGTACAGCAAAGTGCAACGATGATCAAAATGTGCCAAACTTTCACCTACAGTAGTATTTATAGCAACACAATTTCTAACCTACTTTTTCAAATCTAAATATACAAAGAAGTCAAAGATAAGTTCCGTGTTTGCTCTTTTCAAATGGGAAAACATCAAAACACTACCAAAGTGTTGAGATAAGCTACATATATCTTAGGTGGCGGTAGAAAGACATATTATACATATGTACTGTATGAATCATAACTATGCCTGAATCATAAAAGTGAAAAACTATTCAGTATTATTGTGTTTTTTGTTAAGACTGAATGATGACCTAATGTGGAGAAACAGAAATCTGAATATATATTTACATATTTCACAAAAAAACTCTTTAGATATGTGCAAAAAATTGTAAAAGGTGAAGCACTTTGTGTGTGTGTGAGTGTGTGAATGTGTTGGTCTGGTGTGAACTGTGTGGCAGTGTGAATTTGCTCCAGTGTGGTTGAATTTGGCACAGTGTGTCCATAAGTTTCATATCCAGTGTGCATATGCTGAGACGAGGTGGATTTTTCTCAAATGACGGTGCTGAAGGTGTTGTCTCAAGCGGTCTGTTTCAGAGCCCACCACCTCCTGCTTTTCCTGTCTCTCTCTTTCTTTTTGCCTGTCAAATTCTCTTTCTCTCTCCACTTTCACACCACTGTGCTCACAGAGGGGTCTGACAGGTTGAGTTGGCCAGCAATGTCCGTAGGGTATGGCTATAGATGAAGAGGAAACAGAAAAAGGGAAAGTAAGAGCATATATATTTGCATAATCCTAAATATGCACTGTTCCTCCCGTGACCGGTATATATTTCCCATTGTTATGACGGAGGCGATCTCTCCACCCACTGCAAGCCATGTTTATCTGTCATCTAGAATAATTTGTCTGTGATTTAAAACAGACAGGCCTGCTCGGACTGCGTTGTAAGATAAATAGAGTGAACAAGGTCACGGATTCATTACTGCACAATTGCGTACTTAAAGGATCATTGCTCACGCTTACAGTCCTAAATGAATATGCTTTCTTAAACGGGCACCGTATATCACATTCGAAAATGTCTGCACAAGAAACCTGTAATGGCACAGATGAGAGCGCTCTGTCTCTAGGCCCACGGCTAATAATTTACCTGACCTAGAAGTATTGTTTCCATAGTAACTGTCCTAATGAAATATAACAGCCGGACCTGATATGCAGCACAAGGTGCAGTTCATTCCAGTTCGACACAGGTTTCACCCTCAATAGCTCTCAATTTCTCTGATTCTATAGTATTATTATACTGAAAGGTTTATTTATTGTGATACTCTCCACATAGGAAAATATTACACTCGTCCATATCGTCATTCTAACCCTGGAAGATTGTATTTGTTCTGTGGAACACAAAAGAAGATATTTTAAAGAATGTCCCAGTGTCGTCGTCCCCCCCCCACCCCCCGAATGGGCTAAAACATTGTTCAAAATATCTAAGTGTGTGTTTGGCAGAAGAAATAAAATCATACAGGTTACGATTTAATTTTTGGGTGAACTGTCCCTTTTATTCGCTACAACGTTGAAAATGATTTATCTACAATCACGTTTACGGGATATAGTTTTAGATATATATCAAAAGAAGTGGCTTTAGTGGGTGTTGTGATACCCTCAGTTATAACAATATTGTTTATGGTGTTCCAAGTCAATTCTGAGTCATAACCACAGCGCCCCCTGCCTACAAACAGGGGAACAGCTTTAGAGCTCTATTCTACAACAACCAGAAGGGTCATGCTGGTAGAGGAAGAGAGAGGCAGTGTGGCATGTGGTGTGGACACCGACATTCAAAACACCATTCAAATCCATTTATAAAAAACACTGATAGAAAAGAAAAGGATGATTAGGACTGTGATGGGTAAACATCAGTTCAAAAAGACATTTTGGCACTGTTTAGCTAGTAGACTTTGTGTCTTTAATCTGCTCCTATTCTGCCTTCATCTTTGGAAAATGTATTTTGAAATCATATCAGGATAAAAAAAAACACATTTTGCACCCTCACCTCTGTAAATGATTCAAACCATCCTACTGAAGGAGAAACCAACTGAATTGTGAGCTACATGGATTTGGATATTTTTTGTAAACCATCAACCAAATGAGCTGCCAATCAGAATAATCTCTCAAATTGAGGGTGCATGCAATGAAGCCCCAGGTCAATCACTGCCATACCCAGAAAATGCCTAGCGTTCAATTGAATAAATTCAATTAGGTCTAAACCAATTAAAGTAATGCAATGTAATAGTTTGTGTTTGCACATTTGTTTGTATGAATCCTCAGAGCCAGTAGCTGTTTGGTTTGAGAGCTATGTCTTATTAAACCTGTGGGACCGAAGAAACAGTGTGGAGGCGTTTGTGTGAACGAACTCATTTGGGAATCTAACTCTGAGAGTTCAATACATTGTAAACGTAAACCCAAAACCCATCTGAGCAGCATTTCCTGAAAATGAAAAGTGTTTTTTTATTTTTATTCATAGAACTGCAAAGAAAACATTGGATGGTTAAAAATAAAGGGATCTTGGTAGTGCAGGCCTGCCAGGGGACAGCCCAGGTTATTTTAGCGTTACTCGTCTTTGGCTGTTAATGGTGATACCGTGCATCGCGGGAGGCCTACAGGGTGACTTTGTGACAGCAACCACATAAAATGGGACAATAAAAGAAGGATGAGGTACATGGAAATAACCGTTACAGGACCGAGCGGTGAGAGGAGAGACACACGAGTACATATAAAGAAAGGGAAAAAGAAAAGAGCATAAAGTCACATCCAGGTTAGGCACGGGAGAAAGACCAGCACAGGCGCTAAGAAGGAGAAGCTATACCTCGCCCCCTCTTGCAAAGTCAAACCCACAAGCCCCCCAAAAATCTGCTACTCGGTTCCCTCTCCACACTTTCCCTGGCAGCTCCCTGATTGGGCTTTCCCAACAGATGTCTGGATGGAGTATAGATGGCTGACTGACAGACATGTGGCCATGACTGTAACTCCATGTGTGAGGGTGAAGAGAGTCTGAGATGAGACGTTTGTTTTGGAGAGGAGAGATGAGATGACAGGAGAAAGGAAGAGAGTGAAAGAAACAGGGCAGGCAGAGGAGGAGGAAAAGAAAGAGGAAGAGAGCGAGAAGATAGAAGTACAGGCAGGGCGTCATTTTCTTAATCTTCTTACCGTGTCTTTGGACGACCTACGTCTCTTGATGTTGGAGGCCAGGTTGGTACTGATGGACCTAAAAGAGGCTTTCTTTTTGGGGTCTGGCTCTGCTCTACCACTTTTCCTATCCTAAAATAAATATACAGTATATGTAGAACAATTATTCGTGCTCTCTGGAAGAGCGCGTTTGGTTTCCAACCATCACCACCCACCTTGACTACTAAAGCTACTGAATGGTACTACCCTGCTAATTTTAGCGCTTATCACAATTAACATGGCGTCTCCTGTCCGCTCTCCATCTCCATCTTGGCTGTGAGTCAGAACAGTGCTTTCACGCACCCACAGCGCTCTACAAGGAAAGAGGACACTGGCATATAGACTGGGTGAGAATATGTAGATAAAGTCTTACTTCGACTCTTTTACAATCCTGACACTCTAGAGAGGGGAGGAGGAGGACTGCCGTGGATCGTGTGATCAGACCACACTCATCCACAGTTCTGCAACTCCGTAAATGGAAAGCCAAAGCATTAGCAAAGGAAAAAAAGCAAAATGAACGTATAATCAGATGGAAAAAACAGGCTCCGTTTTGAGAGGGAGAAGATGTTCTAGTGTTTTCAGGGAAAATGAACAACTCATCAATAAACAGTCGAAACTTAACACAGATCCTTGGCATTATACCCCGGTGAGGGTATAATGGGAGTATGAAGGAAGGAGGAAGGGATGTGCGGGCTCATAAGAGGAGACAAGAGAGTCGGGGAGGGGGTTGGTGAATTCAACCAGAAGACATGCAATACATGGAACCAAAAAGGGAATGCAAAATGAATGACATGACAGTTGACCTTGGCTGGCACCGTCACTCCCTCATTGACTAGCACATTTGGACCATGTGTCTAATCCCCTACAGTGAGCAACTCAAGATGTGACCATCTGCAACTGCACTTTACTTTACAGCAATGTATGAACCATTTTACCACAAAGAGGATATAAGACGTATAAGAGTTTTCACTTTTTTTCTTTAAAATCTTTAAAAGCTTTGAAAAACGTTTATACCATATTTAAGAAAAGTTTCAATTTGTGACCCTGGACCACAAAACCAGTCATAAGGGTACATTTTCTGAAATTGAGATGTATATATCATATGAAAGCTGAATAAATAAGCTTTCCATTAATGTATGGTTTGTTAGGATAGGACAATATTTGGCCAAGATACGACTATCTGAAAATCTGGAATCTGAGGGTGCAAAAAAAATCTAAATATTGAGAAAATCGCCTTCAAAGTTTTTCAAATGAAGTTCTTAGCAATGCATATTACTAATCAAGAATTACGTTTTGATATATTTACGGTAGAAAATTTACAAAATATCTTCAACGAACATGATCTTTACTTAATATCCTAATGATTTTGGCATAAAAGGAAAATTTATCATTTTGACCCATACAATGTATTGTTGGCTATTGCTACAAATATACCCGAGCTACTTATGACTGGTTTTGTGGTCCAGGGTCACATTTGATGACTCGAAAATGTCATGTTGTGTAACCATCAAGTACAGAACCAAAAATAGGTTAAATATCAGGTTTTTTGGAGAGTAACACCACATGACACTTTACAACTTGAACTTGCCTTGTCATAAAAAGGTCAAATTATCTGATATTTAAGAGACTTATTGATCATGAAACGCAGTTCCTGTTTTTTCTGCATGTTGGTTGGATCATATGACTTGGATTTTGTGAACAAATATTTTTGAATAAAAATAATCAGAAGCAAAAATTCTTTATTTTTATCTAAAAATAAAAATAGACAATTATGCAAAAATTATTTAATGTCTTCTTTAAGAATTGTTTTCCAAAAATGGACAACCAAAATACTTCTGTAAAGTAAAGTGCATTAAACAGTTTTTTTGTAAAACATTTTTTAATTCTTTCAGCATTTGTGAATCATTAGTCACTGTCTGGTTCAAACAACATTTTAAAAGAAACAAGACACAAAAAATGCCCACAATAATATTTTCATCTGTTTTCACATAATGCATTCTGGTTTCTGTAGAAAGGGTGACCGTACGAGCTCCTTTAACCGTCAGTGCTTTCATCCATTGCATTTCAAAGCCCTGTGATGAGGTAGTGCCTCTGGAGTGGGCAGCTAGCCCACATCACATGGGCTCCTGATCTGCTCCTGGCTCGCTCTGGTTTGAAATGCAAATGCACCCAGGGCAGATCTGTCTGTTCATGCATTCGGGAAGCAGTTGTGTGTACGGCTTTTGCATACTTTGCACGTGCACCTGGAGTAAGTGTGCCGGGTTTCGTGTGGAAGAATAGATTTGAGCTTTCAGGGAGGAATTATTCATTGGCACTCTCGGTTGCCATTAGCGGCAGTTAAACATCCATGTTTGCCCGCTCTGATGGGGATTACATGGAGGCTCATTTGCAATTAAAATATATAAGCATTATTTTTCTTTTACTCGGTAAAACAGTGGGAGGAAAATCCATCAAAAAGACCTCGTCCGTGTTTTTTTTGTTCATCTCAAATTATGAGCCTTCAACAATGCTGGACCTCTGACTTGAAGTGGGCGGCACGTGTGGGCGTATTATCCATGCAACATTGTCTTGTGACTCAAGTAGGCAGTAAAACCACTTTAAGGTTAAAACACTTAACTCTCTATAACATGAATCTCTGATGTGTGAAGTCAATCAGATAGCTGTCGGCTTTGATACCGCACTGACACTTGTTCCATTAGTTAGATTTAGTTGGGTTTGCCTTGTGGTGAAATATGTGCCTGCTAATAATGGATCTAAAGTAACAAGGCCATGCTCAATGACTTTAGGAAAAGTAATCATGCTTCAACAACACACTAACTTTCACAGCAGTTCAGAGCTGTAGTCATGTGTTGTGCAAGCCAGCCAGGTTTCAACTCTCAAACGGGCTGACCTTGTTACTTTCTGCCAACATCTGGGCATCGTGTTGGCCTGTGACCCATTAATAAATTACATTTTAAAATTGAAAACAGTTATTTTAAATTGTAATATTTCACAATATTATTGTTTAACTATATAAAAAAATGTAATCCTGCCTTGGTAAGCATAAGAGACTTCTAAACAGTAGTGTATAAACATTTTTCCAAATGTAAAAATCTCTTCATCTTTTCATATTCAGATTCGTAGTTGACTTTATAGGCATCATCATATTTGGGGGTCCTTGGCATTAGAAAGTTTAAAAAAAAATCTAAAAGAAAGCTCATTGTGATCTTTTTACCCCTTATCCCTTGTACAATAGAGATTCATTAATAGTGCTCATGCATGCATTAATATATTGACAAACGCCTTTGTTCACTGCACCATTCACTGCTCAGTTTGACTGCCTTATATGGCTGTTCTTTTTGAGTTTGCTCTTTTGGTGATGTGATAATTTGTGCCTCATCATGACCTTTAAGTCGCATTATGAACGCATGACAGACATGTGAAATCTGTGAGACTTCTTTGTTCTGTGGCAGAAACCACTGGGCTGTTTTTTGGCTCTAATGTTTTCTAGTAAGTGTTTGGAGGGGATGGGAGACAGCTGTACCTGTAAGTTCTTCCTCCATACGTTAACTGCTGCAAAAGCCAGCTGCATTTGCTTCCTGCGTGCATCCTTGTGTCGTTTGTACGCAATCTCAATGAAGATGAGGAAGATCCCGGCGACGATGCCACCAGCCACCAACATAAACACGCCTGAGTGATGAAAAATACATTTCATCATTTCCACACAGTCTTCACTGTGACAAAGAGGGCAACAGACAGAGACTATTGATAAGGCCTATTCACATTGACAGAGATTCATTTTTTTATTTTTTGCCGACATTGAAAATTTGTGAGATGGCAATTGGTGATAGTTGGTTTTATTTCAATGCAAATTAGACATGATGTGGCGACTACTGATCTGCCGCCTGATACAGCTGGATGCTACAGTCAAGTAGAAGCCCCTACTAGCAAGCAACAGCACAGAGATTCAACGACCTTGAGGGATTTGATCGGTGTCAGTGTCAACAGCTCTTCAGAAAGCAAAAGGGTTCCTGTGAGAGGTGGATCATACCTGCCATATTCTCGAAAGTCAGTGTGGCTGGTGCATTGCTTCTGGAGTCACACTCCTGAGAACGGACCCAGGTTTTATCCAAGTCCTCCATGAAGCCATTCTCATGGGAACTATTAGTTCAGAGACCCAACACATCAGTCAAACAATCCGTTATTCCAGAAATAGAAACAGTTGACAGATTAGCTGACAGGAAGAGAAAAAAAGAAAGAAAAACAAACAAAAGTATAGCTGCGCACTGTGGATGATTAGTCTTGATTGAGATTACCTGAGGATGGCCAGTGAGACATTTTGCTTCCACGGGCTATCTTTACGCATCCCGATACCGAATCCAGAGCGGAAGAACAGCTCGCCTGTGGTGACCAGGTCACATTTCTGCGAGGCCTCAAACTCCAACACTGCTGAATCCCATATAAACGCGTGGAGTTTGCTATGGGTAGAAAAAATATACGTGAAAAAACGTTGCATTTTTGCAATTTAAAATGTTTTTCTTTCCCTATTTGCTATTATGCTCATCAAGGCGGCATCATTTGATATAGTAAAACAGTAATACTGTGATATATTATGATTTTAAATAATATTTTTATAACTGAGCTGAATTTTAAGCAGCCATTGCTTTATTTGGTCCTTAAAAATAAATTTCTTATTATTATCAGGGTTGTCAACAGTAAACCACAAAAAAAAAATTCCTCAGGAATTTTTGATGAAAGTTCAAAAGGATTTTTCTTTGTAACATTGTAAATACTTTACTGCAACGTATGATCAATTAATACAATTTTAAAACGTCTTAGTATTTTGTCCTCCTTTTGCTTTAATGACAGCAGCAAACAAGCTGCATTAACTCCACAAGTTTGTGTGAAACCTGATGATTCATTTGATGCAGCATGATTTGAGAATGATCCAAAGAACATCTTGTGTTTCAAGTGGAAGCAAGCAGATCTGTCTGTACAAAGAGTCACACGATAGATCACACAAATTAACATTTCATTAGTGATCTAGAAATAAGTATTTATTTTTCATTTCATGTCACAATGTTTCTTTGTTAAACATTTTTCAAAATCCTAAACTTTGTTTATTTGCAGGTTTAAATGAGATCAAATTAAATCCCAGTTTGTCATTGTCTCAGACATCTGGATTTAAAAAATAAAAACACCTTCACCTCTACTACTTTTTATACCAACGCCTGAGAACTGGCATCTTCTAAATGGAGATAAGTGGAACTAATTCCTGGAGATTATAGAACTCCAGATGTTAAAAATCAGTAGGGAAAATGTATTAAACACACTGGCAATCTGCCATCTGTTCCTGTCTTAGCCTTGTAGTGAAGGTCCTTCTTTAAAACACAACTCCCTACCCTGCTTTGTATTCAGCATCAATACTGTACTGAATCACTCTAACAGGGGTTTAGCCTCTCGCTGCTGTCCACACACACACTGAGGGGAGAGGAGGATGTGTCACCCTTTATACTGACTGGTAATTTAGCTTTCTGCCACCCAATTCCTGGCATCCATATCTATGCCCAGCCCCTGTTTGAATATTGTGCTTTTAAAGATTTAAAACAACAGCTTCCAATAAACCTGTCCTGACATAGCAAAAATAGAATTATTCGTGGAAACTCTTGATTATTGACTGACTTGTCTCGCACGGCCTGGATGGCTTCAGCGGCACTCTCGTAGTTGTGCTTTTCCATGTGGCGGTACATGGTGCTTAGCTCAACTTGGCGCCGGAAGTAAATGTCCACAGAGCTCTGCTTCACTGTGGCGTAGATGAACTTGTCTGATGGGTTTCGCAGCTGGAATACAAGGTAACAGTGAGATGGTCTGGATGAACTGTGATAAATGGGTGCTACGCAAGATAAATGTATTCAAAACATGATGAATAATTAAAGTAAACTGGTGTTTGGTGTCTGCAAATCAAAAACACGGACTTTGCAATTACATGAAATATTTCTGAGAGGAAAATGTCTGTGGGAATAGAAGTAAACCAAGGTAAGCGTGACCTAAAAATGTTCACTGAAGTCTGTTCCTGTGCACCTACAACTGTAATAATAACACAAGTGTAAATTTATCAATATACTGTATATCTCATAAAATCTCATTAAATCCTTTTTTTCAAAATCTCCTTTTTAAATGTTTAAATTGAGTCCTTTGTAAATGTTCAGCCCACATGACAGAACTGACATGATTGTTATGATGAAACAAGGCAAATAAAAATAACCTTTGGGAACGAATGACCCGTAATTATGTGTCCCCGCCGTGCTTAATTATATGTGGTGTTTTTATAGCATGTGAAATCTCGGTGCATGGTAATTTAGAGTCTTATTTGATATTCTGTTGTATAACATGCAAAGCTGCTTCATATTTAGTACTCACCCTAGGGTCGTTGATGCCGGTAATGCGCTCCTCAGGCCGATCCAGCACTAGGAAGGCTGCCAAATTGGCAGTATAAGATGCAACTATAATCATAGCAAAACCAGCCCACACCATACCTAAAATCCTTGCTGAAAAGCTCCGAGGGGCACCTGTGAATGTAAGCGGAGAGGTGAGAGCGATAAAGAAAAATATGCTTACTGCACAATCAATCAAACACAGAGTCAGCAATATTTCCACCTCGCAGCACCAACATACTGAATAATAATCTTATTGCTGATATCTACCTTCTCCAATGCCGGAGTTCAGAAGTACACCCCAGGAGAACCACATAGCAGAGGATAAGGTGAGGGCATCTTCTTCTTCCTCTTCACTATTTACTTTAAACCTTCCAAACGGGCTGCACAGCAAAGTGCATATCAGTCAGAGACAGATGCTTTTAAACTGCATCCAAAAAATGTTGCTAGCCTTCAGCAAAACTTTTGATATCTTCTGCAAACTTTCTTAAAACCAGGCTACATTCTCACATCTGTGTGTTCAATCATTCCTACATCTATCCAAGGGTGAGTTTTACAGGGCTAGTTCACTCAAAAATGAAAGTCTTGTCACCTTCATGTACATGTAAGATATTTTGAAGAATGTTGACTCTTTATTGTATATTTTTACAGTATAGACAAAATATCTTCTTTGGTGTTCCAAAGAACAAAACATCATACAGCTTTAGAATGACATGAGGGTGAGTAAATGATGACAGAATTTACATGTCTGGATAAACTACCCCATTAAGGTGTTATGCATGTAACAAATATTGTTCTTTACCTGAAACGGTCTAATAGGTAGAGCATCACCGCCACAACATGGACCGATAGACCCACCAGTAACCACAGAGTGCTCTGAAAAGGCTGCATGAACGAGTCCAGTGTACTGCGCGGTATTTCCTGCAAAACAACACAGCTTTATCCAACCCAACAAACACCACCCACATTGCCACATGCATCGCCATATGAAGCATCAAATGGAGTCTACATCTACAATGGTCAGAGGTGTATTAATAGATTTCACTGTACTCCAAAGTCAATTGATTTATCACAGCGTTTTCTCAGTACAGAGATAAGTCCACTTCAGGGAATTTAATTAAATCGAGAAGCTGTTATACCATTTCTGTCCCAGAAAATCATGTTCTCAGAGGATTTTTCCAAAAATTAATTACATTTCAGATACTTTATTTGAAACTTTAGTTAAAAACTGAAATGAAACTGACACCAGATCTTCCATTTTTTCCCTCATTGGCCTCATGGAATAATGCAGTTTCCAACAAGGGAGAGTTCATCCAAAAAAAAAAAATATCTATATTTCAAATGTTAATTTTTGAATGAACTGTCCCTCTAAAGCCAAACGATGATCTGTAGGCCATCTGAGGCTCACCTTTTTGACAAGTATTGTGAGCCCCTGGTACTTGAACGGTTTCGAGAACTCTATATACTGGGCTCGTTCATTGTTGATTGTAAGTGGAGCCACGATCATGTCTGCCAAGCCACTCAGGAGCTCTCCCATCATGCCATTCCACTCCTTCTTGTTGCTGTTATTTACCTGGTATCATGGAGATAACATTAAGCAATTAAATGCACTTTACTTTATGTATATTTCAGCAGATTCTTAACAGCATCTGTGAAGAAAGACTTGGAAATGTGCAGACAAGCCTAGTTGCATGACCTTGGAAGATATGCAAAGCTTCCGACTGGTGAAGAATCAATAAAGTTATCGTATTACTCACACGCTCCTGAGTGCCAAATTTGCCATCAGCCACTAGATGCACTTCATAGGTGAAGTTCATTGTCATTGCAAGTTTGATCAAAAGGTCAATGCAGAACCCATAGCAGCACTGAGGCACTATGGGGCGACCTATAGTGTTATACAAGATTGTCAGATCTGGACAAAGCACAACTTTAGTTCAACAAACTGTATTTAATATAATACATAATGCCTACCTGGAATGGTCTCATTGGGGCCAGTGCAGATCACTTTTTTGATCAGGACTCCATTTACAGTGAACTCTTCCTTACATGTTCCATCTCGTAACGTTGGTTTCACATACACAAAGGGCTCTTGATGAATGGTGACAATCTACCAAATAACAAGAGAACTGAATGTCAATGCATGGTTTTCAATTTATTTATTTATTTTTAAAAAGTATACATAAAAAGCCCTGCAATAAAGTACCTTTAATCTCGTTGACATCTGATACCCTTTTGGCTTTTCAGTCTCTCCTCCTGGCCAAATAATCTTCCTCTGAGTGTTCATTACAACCTGAAACATAATATTTTCCTGTCAAGATCTGTCATTTTATATTTATACTGGATATAGTTGAAGTTGAAAAAAAAAACTGACAACTAATATTTTTCACTGTATATGTAGGCTCCTTTTTGCTCATTTGTAAGCATCAGCTGAAATAGTATATGTAAATGTTGTTTTTGCATTATTCAACATTTTTAGGATAAGTCAATCACTTTTAAAACATTAATCTTAGTTAAACGTTAATTCATACATATACATTGACAATTTATATAGTTAATTAACAGCTATTGTACTTCAAATTAATGATGAGCTATAGTATATTTACAAATGAACATTCAAAAAAAAAAAATGCTGTTCATTGATGGTTCATGAAACTTAATACTCTACACTTACTGTAAAGTGTTACAATAAAATTACAGTGTGCTACTGTCCAAACTGTTAAAATAGCAAATGTTTGCACTGAGCAGAAGGACAGCTTATTAAAAAGACTAAGCCGATTTCATACTTGCGAGCCATTGTAGACGCCCACTTGCACCAGCCGGGTTTTCTGGTAGTTCAGAATGCTGTAGTGGGCGAACCTCCTGTCTCCGTCATCATTAAACTCCACGCGGCCTGTCAGGCCATCTGGATACTTGGATGACATCAGCACTCTAGTACACCAAAGGGGGTTTTTAGAAAAGGCACAAAATGCTCATTTAAACACAAAGGAAGACATTGACGATGACTTAATGACTTAATGAAAGTTTACCAGAAATTCAGAGATGGAGATGCAGGTATGTCTTAGAAAAAGACATGACGATAACTAGGGAAGAGTTAGGGGGTTGTCGTGTGGAGTGGGGTGGAGTCAGATGGCACGTATAATGTGCAGGCACAGACATAGGAGAACAGAAATGACACCTGTAAGGGTCTCAAATTGGGTCTCAAATGCAAATTGGTACCACCAGATTTCACAAGGCCAATGTAAGCAACAACTTAACAGGCTTGATGTGTCCTTGCACTCGCTTATTACTCTGTTTGAGGAGTCAAGGTGTGGTTTTAGAAGCCAAAAGCTAGCGGTTTCAATATTTGTGGTGTGAATGCTTCCACTCTTGTCAGTGCCAGACCAGTGGTAATGTATGATAATGCATGACAGCAAATGGATGGTTGGTTGGAAAGCTAGCGAATGCTAGCCAGCGCTCATCCCTGGCCTCACCGTTTGAAGAGTGGGCCAGTCTTCCAGATGTTTGTATTGCCAACACAGCCTCGAGGAGGCTCTGTGATATTCTCCTTCTCAAAGAGCTCCTGAATGGACTGGGCCACCACAGCCACGGCATCGTAGATGTGTGCAGACTCGTTCTTGCCATTGATAAGCTGAAGGCCGAGCAAGCCTGCCCAGTTGACAACATTACATGGTGTTGGCCAATGCCTCACAACACGACTCTCACTTCAAGAACACGTCAAGGCATACTCGTAATAAAGAAATGCACACATTGCCAGAGAGAGAAACAAACGTGCATTGCATATGAGCGACAAATTGTCTCAAGACAGACAGAAGGACTGTGAAAGTCATGGGGGGTCAGGACAGGGTCAGCACTGAGCAGAATGGCGTGAAGTTGAACACGGATGTGTATATAAAGAAGCCGGGAACAAAGAAATGCGGTTGTCGCTTACCATCATATCCACACCTCAATGTGGAGGTAGCAAAGCACCACTTATAAATAAACTCATGACAGCCAAACCTTAAAAATGTATGCACATTCAAACCAATATGGATTACCACAACTCTCTATTGCATCATTTGTTGTCTACTGAAAGAAAGGACAAACACTCAAAAATGAAACAAATTAAACATTAGACATAAAGCACAGTACAATGAGTAAAGAATCACTGTGTTTAAAACCTTTAAACATGGAAATGTTTAAACGTTTAAACACGCAAGTACAGCACAGACACTGATTCGTTGGTGGGGATTGCAAATTGTAATCGTATAAAAAGCTTAAAAGGCAAACATGTGAGAGAGAGAGAGAGACAGAGAGAGACAGAAAGAGCGGATGAAAATGGAGAGGATGAAAAGTACATACCATCTGGGGCTTCACTCAGTGCTTTACCAGACATCTCCCTTTCTCCAACCAGCCACACATAACCAGAGCCTGTCATATTGAGCTGGCGCGCTGCTTTGTAAATGGCTGCGGCTTCGTCTTCACTGTGATTGGACAAAGATTGGTAGTAACAGACTGCATTAATTGGACTAAACACCTCCAAATTTAATGTTATGAGCAGGTCCGCATGGAATCTGTGAGTGCAGAAATCAGAGAATCAGCTATACTACACATTTCTTAGATTATTTCTATGTTAAATATATTTGTAGTCACCAGCAAGAATGCAAAAAACATTTTGCCATGTTTAAATCATTACGCAGAATGCCTCAGATTTCCCCCAAGTCTGTTTGCATATTCTGTGTGGGCCTGATTATGAGTGACTCATGAAGGGCAGAGAAACTGTCTGAGATTTTGAGGTAATCTCTTGTTAACAAATTAGATGTTGGCTCGTTTAATCAGAAAACACCTTATGAAGTGTTTGTATTGAGGCTGGACATTTTAGCTTTATTTGCAATCATTTTTAATATTTTAATGCATCAACTCACTGAAATGGTTCAAATATATGCAGTGCACTGAGAATGTCTTTTCAATTCTGATTCAATTCCTTAATCTAAACTGAACTTTGAACCGAACATGCTTTTGGATTCTGAATGTAAGGAAGTATATTTTAAAAAAAATTGTAATTTTTTAAAACTGTAATTTACGAGAAAAGTTACATTTGCCAAAACAAGAGTTGTCCATCTTGGCTTATATTATATCATATCATATTATATTATTATATTATGATTTCTTTAACAAATTAACTTTTGTGGACCAGGGGCTATATAACAGAAACTTTCTATCTTTATTTTTGTCTTGATGTGAAAACAGTTTGATTTCCTAAGTGAAATTACCATGGTTACTAAACAAATAGGATAGGATGTTTCTGTAACACAGCCCCAGGATAGAACACTTTATTTCCCAGAATGCACTACCTGAATTTCTTTGGCTTGCAATTTAGTAAATCAGTCCAATCATAGTCCTATCATTCCAATCCATTTTAACTCAAAATCGGTGTCAATTTCCTGTGAGATGTGACCAATTTAATTTAAAATTCCACCTGAATTAAACAGTAGCACAGATATCTTTTCAGAATTCTCCAACCCAAGCTTCGCCATTTTTGCCTGCTCTAAGTCAGTCTCTTGGCTGGCCAAATGTAGTATTCAGTAACAATACCGATTAGCGATGATGGGTTAAACAGTGGAGATGAACTCACCTTGCAGACAGGATGATAACTCGGGCCTCTAGCTCTTTGGCTTCCTGGAGCAGAGCTGTCAGATTTGTGTCTTGGCTGAACAGGAGCACTTTCTCTGCCTGGGATTAGGACACAACATTAGTCAAGTAGTTGACTCATCCCCACCATGAACCATGCTCTTTGAGTGCTAGCGTTTTTTTTCTCCTTTTTCTTTTTCTTTTTGGAGGGGGAGGGGGTTTAAAAAAATTAATTTAAAAAGTTTCTGTGATAATCTGCTTAAATGAAAAAAACTTAAATAAGCTTGGAGCAGGTAAAAAGTTCTGCATTTTCACATGCAAACTCAAAGGAATCAAGATTCCAAGGAAAAACGTGCATGTTACAGGAAGAGGGAGAAGAAGATTGATGCAACCGGAAAGCAAAAAACAGGTGAAGGAAGGTGGTGATGGTGGTGGCTTCTTTCCCAACCAAAAACAAAAAAAAAACAACAAAAAGGAAGAAATGCTGCAGAAAGGTGGGAGTAACATCTGGATAGTGCCTGTCCCACACGACCAGATCATCACGCACTGTCAAAAGAATAGACTTGCAATCTTGCTGGCTTCAATACATGCATTCCTTTACACAAAAATAAAAAAGTGAGAGGTGGGGGAGCGAGTTTTTGTATACGCTTTAACAGAAAAAATAACCCATTCTCGATTGAAATCATAAAAAGAATCCAAATAAATAGACGTGCTGACAGGATAAGGATCTCTGGAATCGGTTTGTTGATTGTTTGACTGCTTTCTAGTGGCTACTTTCAGATAACTTTTGGGCGGCGTGCATTGACCATGCAAATATACCTTGGGTCCTCGCTTGTTGTCAAAGGACAGTTGGTCGAGGTTTTCATAGTTCCTGTTTTTACTCTGATGAATAATGTGCACAGAGAAAATATGCAGACACAGAATATTATAAACAGTTATAAATGGTGCGCAGTAAAGTATTCCAACAAATCTCCACTTTTCTGCTTCAAATTGGGAAACTCGAATCCTGGGGCTTGCAAAAACATCAACAAAGACTACATGGAGCAGACAACCTTATCTATCCTTGCATATGGCCTGAACCCGCACACTATTATTTCCATGACTTCTCCTCCTTTAATTCTTTTCATAATATTTCATTTTAATTTAACCTTTTCACTTGAATTTAATTAAAACACTTGCCCTGAGTGTGCTCCTTGCTTTAGCACAATTAATAATAAGCACTAATGTCTCTGTTTCGTTATAATGCATTGCTGTTTGTTAATTGTGCAGTACATTCAAGCGTAGCCTAATACCATCCATCAATTTAAATTTCTTTGTCAGTCTACCGTAAAAGAACATCAGCTACAGTCCATGAAGCACAGCAAGCTGCTGCCACAAGTCATGTCTGTCCAGACATAAAACTCTCCTAGATTAAATGGATGGACATGGATTATTTTAGATCATTTTTATGCATTTAATACATATTTGTAGTTTTAAGATTTTTTTGTGCCTGACTGTATAAAAAAAAAAAAGCCTGTTTGCCCCCTAAACTCTCAACGGACTGAGAAAAACTGATGTTTTTCTTGTCTATCAAAATGGCTTTAATTTGCAGCTTTAATATACAGCCATCCAACCGTGTGGACAACGTGCAGGCAAAGTTTTGTTGTAATAACTGACACAAGAAAAAGACTTTCATGAGCCCTTCTACTGATTCCCAAAACAGTCTGAGAATGTGCATATAAAAACAGCTGGCCTTGGGGCTGCCATTATTGAAAATGACATTGCAACGACATTGCGGGTGTCCTAAAAATACAGTGCCATGCTAATGGATTCAGATCCCGAAGAAATGGTTCTTTTTAGTGAATTACAAATCATTCTTTTGTTCTAATTTAGACACTGCATATGTAACCTTTCATTACTACGTATGTGTACAAATGCAAATGTTGATGAGGTTTAATGCTCACATGGTGCATAACTACCTTCAGCTTCAAATTTATTGTAAAATACTTTCTTACATAATGTGAAATACTGAACAGCACACAGCTGCACACAGAGAACACTCAATAAATCAGTCACAGTCTGTTGCTGGGAAGAAATTCTCACGGAATCACAGAAATGCAAAACAACCAAATCCCCTTGCTGTTGATTTTTTGCACAGCCCCAGGCTAAGTCCCTCATTTTGCTCCTGTTGTGGATAGACAAATAAGAGAATCTGACTATGGTAAAAAGCAATGTGAGATGAGTAGAAAAGTACAAAGTTTTGCAGATAAACCACTTAAGACGCTGCTGATGCCTCTAGCATAAATAATGTTAGCCAATGGAAAGAAATGTTTACACAACAGAAAAAAGGAAACATTTAACATACATAGAGGACCTCTGAGATATTGATTACAGGAACACACGCTGACTTACACACACACACACACACACACACACACACTCATTTACACGCTGGGCTGTGTGAGTCGGCAGCCCACGCATCTCACCTTCGTCTCCCTTTCCTCCAGCAGGGTTTCCAGTCTTTTCTGTGCCGCTCTGCCCTCGTGGTCATCACTGACAATCAGAATTATGTGATTCCACTGGAACTCACGCATCATGTCAAACCACACTTGGGCTTGGTGGGAATAGGGTGGCACCGTGCGCAGGAAGGAGAGGTGGATGCTCTAAATGGACGGTTGGGAAGAAAGAACTAGTGAATCTCAAAGGCCTGAAGCAGTTCCAGTTCATTAGGATTTAATCATTTTAACTGTAATTAATTTAGAGACGGATCCAAACATCACTTCTTAGCATGCCGAGATGCCATAAGGCAAAGAGTATAAGTGAACCTAAAAGAGGCAATCGATCATGACGCTATATGCAGTATTTATGAGAGTTTTTAATTAAAAGTCTAAAAAATGACCACACTAGAACTAAAAACGAGTAAACATTTATCACATTATTCTGCTCTGGAGGAGGAATAGAACCCCATCCTGGGTTGCGTTTCCCAAAAGCATCGTTAGCCTAAGTTGATCGTAGCTCATTTGGTTTCAATGGGTCTACGATGTACTTAAGCTTACGATGCTTTTGGGAAACGCAGCCCTGGAGGTGGACCGTCATGCAAAAATATATTTTCAGGGCTTCGCTACACTACATCATGCAGAAAAGGTTTTCACACTTCAAAACTCCAAGCAAACCTTATTAAAGAAGGTGACTGAAGAAAAGGACAGATGACATCTGCAGTGGAACGCAAGCAGAATTTCTGTCTGAAATATACTGAGTCATAAACCAGCTGCTGGTGGTCTCCCACACACACCTTATCAGAGTAGATGGACATGCGGGTGGTGAGGCCCACTACAGGGATACGGTAAAAACCAGCTGTGTAGGACACCGGAGTGGGAGTTAGATGGTCGTTGGACTGGGGTGGGTGGCTCACCAAGATCGCATACACCTGAGGACATGAGGATCATAGTGAGGAGAGAAATCTGACAAAGTCTTGTCACTTGTTTTGATTTTGTCACTTCTAAACTACACTGTAAAAGGCCTCTAATCAATCAATTAATCAATACAAATACTAAATGAATGAATGAATGATACAATGTATAGCTATACAAACCTACTTGATCTACTAAAATCTGTAATATAAAAATATTGATAACCATAACAACACTTTTAACTAGATGACTAATAGTACTAACAGCAAATTGTAAACAGTAAACAGACCATAAAAACAGTAAACAGACCATATTATTCAAATGGGAATTGTTGCCAAACAAATACCACTAAGCTAACAAATATGACAATAAAATAACACGGCATGAACATTCACTAAATAACATGAAGTACAGATACTACTGGTCAAATATTACTCCATTACAAGTCAAATTTGTAAAGACAGATTTTTACTTAAGTAAAAGTACAGAAGTACTTGCTTTTAAAAGTACTTAAGTACCACAAGTAAATTTCCTTTTTTATGTCAATGCACTGTTTTATTATTGTTGTATGTAATACTTGCAATACCTTTGAAGCAACTTACATTACACCTACTACTGAATACACTGACTAGCTTGTAGTATCCTTGGAATAAAGAGCTTTTAGAATGTTAAAAACCTATGGGGGGAAAATAATAATTATTATTATTTAACACCCCTACCCACCCCCACAAAAGCAGGATGGTAGTGATCTCACACAGCTCTGGACACATCTATGTGTAGCCATTCATCCACATTTGAACAGAGTGGACAGTGAAATTGCTGTAAATACAGACTGATAAGGAAGAAAAAAAATCAACCTGCTTTAAAACCCAGCAACACAACTGTAGCTGAATAACTTTACAACAGCAACACTGCTTTAGCAAAAAAGCAAAACAGCAAGACTTATTTGACATCAAAACAAAAAAAATGTAAATGCTGTCTAATTGCTCTCGCTGTACTTTGATGTCACACACAGAACGGTCTGTGCAGTGCTGCTTCA